CAGGTCGAGGCTGCGGTGGCCGGAAGCGGCCACTGCACTCCAGCCTGGGCAACAGTGAGACTCCGACTCAAAAAAATAAAACAAAATAATAAAATAGATGGATAAAAAGAAGACTTGTCTAGCCTCCACAGCTCTGAGGGTGAGGTGCAGTCAAAACGTTTGGGGGGAGAGGTGCAGTTGCCTCTTACCAGGTTTTCTGCTGACCTCGGGGCACACAGCTGGGCCCTGCACAGGTGTGCTCGGCCTAGAAACTGGGTGACCGGCGCCTTCACCTTGAAGTACATCCGAAGGCAGTCCTCGCTCACGTCTGGCTGTCCCATCTGCGGAAGGGCACCACCGGGAGACGGCCTTTGGAGGGTGCGGCCTCCCTCCGCATAACCACAACGCGCGGCTCCCAGGCCAGGCCTTGCTTGCACCCACCCTGGCCTCTCAGCAGGAGCCCAGCCCTCCCCAGTCCCACCTCTGCCTCCAGGACACACCCAGACGTGCAGCCCCGCCCTCTCGGTCTCTAAGGCCTGCCCGCTTTGGGGCCTCTGGAATGAATCACCTTGAAGGCCTGTTCTGCACACAACACAAACAGGTCTGGGCTGAAGCTTTCCGAGGGGTCGAACTCGGATGTCCCCAGACTGGCAGACTTGATCAACTCGTAGGCTTTCTTCAGGGAGGCAGCGTCTGTCGGACAAGCGGTGGGTCGGTGGGGGGAAGAACACCTGCAGCCCTGAGCCCGGGGGCAGTCGCCGGGCTGGGAGTGGCGAGCCGGGCCAGGTGCTCCCGGATGCCCAGCCGGCTTTGACCCCGCCCCGGCCGCCCAGGCAGTCGGGCCGGGACCACCCTCCGAGGGCAACAGTTTAGAATGCCCTCGTTCGAAGGGTTTTCCTCGGGCTGGGTGGCTCAGCCTGGGGCCCCGCGCCTTTGGGAGGCTGAGGCGAGTGGACGGCCCGAGCCCGCGGGTTCGAGACCCGCCTGGGCGGCGAGCCCTCATCTCTACAGTAAATCCAAAACGAGCCGGGCGTGGTAGCGCGCGCCTGTCATGCCGGCTACAGGCAGGCGGAGGCGGAAGGCTCGCCGGAGGCCGGCAGGTGGAGGCGGCGCGGCCGCGGCGCTCCGGTGCGGGCGCCCGAGTGAGACTCCCACGCGCCAGCCACAGCCACAAAACCCAAACGGCTTTCCCTTTCACGTCGGCTCTGGGGAAGCAAACCTGGAAGTTCCAGGCGGCAACGGCGGACCTCAAAGGGGCACGCGTCCAGCAGGGAGGGGGCCAAGTTCTCCCGGGGGGCTTGAGGTTGGGGGCCTGAGGTTGGGGGCTTGAGGTTGGGGGCCTGAGGTTGGGGGTCCCGGGCCCACCTCGCTGGCTCTCGGCGTGGGCCAGTTCCTGCATGATGACCGGGTCCATGGCGCCGGCGCCCGCTCGGCCGCCTCCCCCGAGTCTCCAGCGCGCCTCCCGCCCAAGGTGGGCTTCCC